AAGGCTGGGGCCCGGGGCGAACGCTGCCCGGAACCGCCTCCCTGAGCCTGGTCGTAGGCGCCCGGAGGCGGCGTCGTTGATGTAAACAGTAGTGGACGCCGCGGGCTGAACCTCCCCCACGTGGGTCCGTGTTCGAACTCGGGGAGATGAAGCAGCGAGAGCGCTCGCCGCACCTGAGGTCGCGATGGAGGAGGGTGTGGAAGGCGTGCACCAGGCTCCGTGCTGAGCGCCGGGGCCGCCATCGCGGCTGATCCCTGAAAACAGTCCCACCCGCGCCGCGCCGGCTCCGGACATCCCTGCTCTGTTGTTAAGGAAACAGGCTCGGCAAGGTGGCCACTTAAGAGCCCAAGGTCGTTGGCAGAGCCAGGGTTTGGTTCCGGATACCCTCACCCCTCTGCAGGCGGTCAGAACCACACTGACCCCCCAGACACTCCGTACAAAGAAATGGTGCTCGGACGAGTCCGGTTGAGTCCGGTTCCGCTAGCGCTTCACAAAACTGTGATTACTCCCCAGCCTTGCTGATGTTATAAAAGCTCCCGCACCCCCACCCCTTCCTTCTTACAACCAGCGAGTTATTTAGCAAGGATGGCTTGTGGTTTGGGGTTTTCACTGGGGAATCGGGTGTGTCAGCCCCTGATTAAAGTCTCTGGAAGCATAGGGACCTCACCTAAGTGGCTGATACCGACTGGGGCTTCCCTGCCAAATGCACGCCTTCACTCCGAAACCTCCTGCCGGGAATTCCAGTAATTCCCATTTTACAGATCAGGAAACGTCACATCAAAAGTTTACTTGGTCCGGGGTGGCAGAGCTGGGGTTCAAACCATGTCTGCCTGTGGCCAGGTTGAGTTAACGGGCTCTTAAAATTAGATTCGCCCTAACTTGTTTGGCTCAGTGGATAGAGCGTTGGCCTGCGGACCGAGGGGTCCCAGGTTCGATTCTGGTCAAGGGCATGTACCTGGGTTGCGAGCACATCCCCAGTGGGAGGTGTGCAGGAGGCAGCTGATCGATGTTTCTCTCTCATCGATGTTTCTAACTCTCTATCCCTCTCCCTTCCTCTCTCTAAAAAACCAATAAAATATATTTTTAAAAAAAATAAAATTAGATTCACCTAGAGTTTGGGAACAAACATTCCAGAGCCCTACCTTGGGAGGTTCCAGTTTGGAAGGACTTGACTGTGGCCCTGGGAACTTTGGTCAACTCTGTGGTGGTCCTGGGCCCTACTATGGGCTGTCTCTCTACCCTTTCCGACGCCCTCTGTGGTTCTTGACCAGAGAAGCCTTTGGGACTTGACCCGCCTGGGGCCTCTCCTGAAACCCTGCCTGCCTCTCTCCTCAGGATGACCAACTTCTGGATGACAGCAAGACCCTGGGCGAGTGTGGCTTCACCAGTCAAACAGCGAGGCCCCAGGCCCCAGCCACTGTGGGGCTGGCCTTCCGGGCAGGTGAGAGGGGCAGCCAAGCCAGCCAGGGCCCGACAGCCAAAGTTAAGGGGGTCATCAGGGAGCCTGGAATTACTCTTCCAGGACAATGTTTTCCCAGCCCACAAACGTCAGGCAATATCCTGTGACTGTATTTGTTACCTCGCAAACAAGATGCTTGTAGAAATTGGAGCCTATTTCATGAAGGATTCAAAGGTCCCTATTCATGATACCAGTTTATATTTACAGGGGACTTTTTTAAAAAAAAATTCCCATCCCCCTTACACTTCTTCCCCCTTTGGCAACCATCAGCTTATTTATGCGTCTGTTTTGTTTCATTTATTCATTTGTTTTGGTTTTTTTTTTTAGATTCCACATATGAATGAAATTATAAGGTATTTGTTTTTCTCTGTCTGACTTACTCCGTTTAGTATTATACCCTCTAGGTCAGTGATGGCAAACCTTTTGAGCTCGGCGTGTCAGCATTTTGAAAAACCCTAACTTGACTCTGGTGCCGTGTCACATATAGAAATTTTTTGATCTTTGCAACCATAGTAAAACAAAGACTTATATTTTTGATATTTATTTTATATATTTAAATGCCATTTAACAAAGAAAAATCAACCAAAAAAATGAGTTCGTGTGTCACCTCTGACATGTGTGTCATAGGTTCACCATCACTGCTCTGGGTCCATCCATGTTATGGCAAATGGCAAAATTTCATTCTTTTTTATTGCTGAATAATACTCCATCGTGTGTGCGTATGTCCACATCTTCTGTATCCATCTATTGATGGACATCTAGGTTATTTCCATATCTTGGCTATTACTAGTAATGCTGCAGTGAACAAAGGGGTGCATATATTTTTTCAAATTAGTGTTTTTGTTTTCTTTACATAAATACCCAGAAGTGGAATTACTTGGTCATATGGTAGCTCTATTTTTAATTTTTTCAGGAATCTCCATACTGTTTTCCATAGTGGCTACACTAAGTTTACAGTCCCACCAACAGTGTATGAGGGTTCTTTTTTCTCTACTTACTCACCAGCACTTCTTGATTTATTGATGATAGCATTCTGACAGATGTGAGGTGATAGTTCATTGTGATTTAATTTGCATCATTAGTGATGTTGAGTGTCATGTTTGTTGGCCATCTGTGCGTCCTCTTGGGAGAAATGTCTGTTCAGGTCCTCTGACCATTTTTTTTTTAAAGACTTTTTTTTTTTTTAATATTTTATTGATTTTTTACAGAGAGGAAGGGAGAGGGATAGAGAGCCAGAAACATCAATGAGAGAGAAACATCGATCAGCTGCCTCCTGCACGCTCCCCACTGGGGATGTGCCCGCAACCAAGGTACATGCCCTTGACCGGAATCGAACCCAGGACCCTCAGTCCGCAGGCTGACACCCTATCCACTGAGCCAAACCAGCCAGGGCTAGCAATGTTAATTCTAAACAGTGTTTGTGATTTTTAGTCCAATAGTCTTCAGTCCAGTAGTTAAAATAACTGCTTTCTTGTTTTAATTTCAAACATTTCTGTAGGACACAGTGTTGCTTTGGGCTCAGTCCAAAGGTTATTTTGCCTTAACATTCTAAAGATTTGAGGCATAAAACATGCAAGGCCGCTCCTTCTGCATGTCAGCTCTGGCTCCATTTAGTTTTGAAAAGTTTTCACCATTGGGTATGAAATTACCTGTGGGTTTGTAATATACAGCCTATACTATGTTGAAATATGTTCTTTCTATACTCACTTCGTTGTTTTTGTCATAAAAGGATGTTTAACTTGTCATACTTTTTCTGCATCTATTGAGATGATCATATGGTTTTTATGTTTTGTTAATATGATGTATCACATTGATTTATGGTTGTCCGACCATCCTTGCATCCCTGGGATGACCCACTTGGTCCTGGTGTTTAATCCTGGTTTGCTAATATTTTGTTGAGAATTTTACATCTATGTCCATCAAAGGTATTGACCTATAATTTTTGGGGGGGGGGGGGTAATGTCTTCATCTGGTTTTGGTATCAGGGTAATGCTGAATGAGTTTGGAAGTGTTTCTTCCTCTGTTGAAATAGTTTAAGGATACGTTTAATTCTTTGAATGCTTGGCAGAATTTACCGGTGAAGTCGCCTCGCACTGCAGGCGATAGGCGTGGGGTGCGATCGCTTGGCTGGCCTGGGGCTCCCTCTGCGGGCGATCGATTGTGGGGCTCCGCAGAGGGGCCACTGGCCGGGTAGCCTGGGCCTCCCTCTAATGTATTTTTCATTTCAGTTATGTATTCTAAAGGTGTGCTTGATTATTATACTTGCTAACTTGGTTGACGTTCTAAGTTCCTCTTTTCTACTCCCAAATTTGGAGAGCATCCTTATGATTATTTGAATTCTTTGTCAGGAAAATTACTTGTTTCTATTTCCTTCAGGTATTTTTCTGGGGATTTTTCATGTTCATTCATTTAAGAGATACTCTTCTGTCTTTTCATTTTGTTTGACTTTGTTTATATGAATTACACAAAATAGCTTTCTCCCAGTCATGAAAAAGTAGCCTGAGGTAGAAGTGGCCTGTGTAGGCTGTGTGTGCTGGGTGGTTTTGGCAGGCTAGTAAGAGGCGTCCAGAGCCCTTGCCCACTGAGCCAGAATGGCTCCAGGGGGTTTAGGCAGCCAGGTGCATGTAGTAATGACCTGTTGATTTTCCTTGCTCCTTTTGTTGGGGGCTGAGGCAGTGTTTCTGGGAACATGCTACAGGGACCTTGCAGGTAGGCTAGAGCACCTGGATAGAGCCCATGACCACCCTGGTGGAGGCGGAGGGGGACATAAACAACTTTGGGGAAACAATGCCAACCTTGTAGAATTCCTGGTGTCCCAGGGCTCCCCACCTTTCTCTGTATATGCTCTTTTTTGTTTATTGTACAGAAAGTGGTTTGGTGAAGAAGTTACCTTTATGTAGTCTTAGTTGGAGCACTAGCCTATAGGGCAGTGATGGCGAACCTTTTGAGCTCGGCGTGTCAGCATTTTGAAAAACCCTAACTTAACTCTGGTGCCGTGTCACATATAGAAATTTTTTGATATTTGCAACCATAGTAAAACAAAGATTTATATTTTTGATATTTTATATATTTAAATGCCATTTAACAAAGAAAAATCAACCAAAAAAATGAGTTCGCGTGTCACCTCTGACACGTGTGTCATAGGTTCGCCATCACTGCTATAGGGGCTAGAGTGGCTCCCAGCAGGGAGGCCAGGTATTTGTGGTGATGCCTTATTCCTGGCTTGTTCCCTCTGTTGGGAGGCAAAAGACTGCAATGTAGCCAGGAACACCCAGTGGTGATCTTGCAGGTAGGCCAAAGCACCTGGATAGAGCTCCCCAGCCCTATCAAGTGTAGGGGAATGTAAACAATGGTGCTCACTGGCTCCTTTGTCCAGAGTTTCCACAGCTGCTAGATGGCTTTGTGACTTCCCAACCTTCCCTATTCTGTCTCTTTCTCATTTGTTGTTCAGAAATTGTTTATTCAACTTTCAGTTGTCTTGCATGAAGAATTGCTCTATTATTTGGAGTTAGCTCATGGGAGGGGGCGAGTTTAACCTTCTATGCCGCCACCATCTTGGACCTGAGAGAGGACCTACTGAGTACCTGGCCCTGTGCTCTGTTTTATTTTCATTTTACCGTCTTTTTTGTTTTGTTAATCCTCACCCAAGGATATTCCCCTCCCCCCATTGATTTTTAGAGTGGAAGGGAGGATTGGGAGTTGGGGGGAGATAGAGACCCTTTGGTGCTTGGGCTGATGCTCTAACCACTGAGAACACTGGCCAGGGCCTATCTCATCCTCTTGGTAGCCCTGAGAGGTAAGCATTGCCATCCATATTTTGGAGATGTGGACACAGACTTGCCAGCAGTTAATGTAGGGGAGACATGGTTCAGGTGCAAGCTGCCAGGACCTTGCCTGAGCTAGACACCCTGGCAGGCATTCTCTCAGCAGCGCATCACTTAATCTCCCAGCATCTCTGCAGACCAAAAACTTGTGCCATATTAAGGATAAGTTAACTGTACATGGGGAGTTCAGGTCATTTGCTAATGTGGGTAGCTGTTTCCTTGTGCAGCTTGCAGAAGGACAAGACATTGGTCTGTCTGCTCACCCACAAACTGGCTTCAGTTAGGGAGGTGACAGTGTTCAACTCAAGTGTTAAATGGCATCATCCAGACTTTATCCAAGGAATGGGAAAGGTCTGCAGACCTCCACCTCCCAAGTTATGATAATTCAAAGTTTTGCCAGATATGGCCAACTTTCCCTGGGGGTACCTAATAGATTGAGAACCCTGAGCCAGATAAAGGGAAGTCTCTGGGTGGAAGAAAGTGCAGAAGAAAAGTGAAATGGGGCCAGAGCCGGTTTGGCTCAGCGAATAGAGCGTTGGCCTGTGGACCAAAGGGTCCCAGGGTCCATTCTGGTCAAGGGCACATACCTCAGTTGCAGGCTCTTCCCGGGCCCAGGCCCTGGTCAGGGCTTGTGCAAGAGGCAACCAACCAATGTATTTCTCTCACATCGATGTTACCCTCTCTTTTTATTTTTTATTTTTAAAAAAATATATTTTATTGATTTTTTACAGAGAAGGGAGAGGGATAGTTAGAAACATCGATGAGAGAGATCGATCAGCTGCCTCCTGCACGCCCCCTACTGGGGATGTGCCCGCAACCAAGGTACATGCCCTTGACCGGAATC